GAGTGAGACTGCAACTCAAAAAAAAAAAAAAAAAGAAAAGATCAACAAAAGCAGAAGATCCTTCAGCTAATTTGACTAAGAAGAAAAGAGAGAAAACTCAAATTACTAGAATAGAAATGAAAGGGGGGAAATTCCAGCAACCTATTTTATAAAAAGAATTACAAAGCAATAGTATGGGCAACCGTATTGCCAACAATTTAAATACCTTAGATGAAAAGAATAAATGACTCTGACTTAAGAACAAATAGATAATTTGAATAGACCTGTAACAAGCAAAGAGGCTGAATTAGAATTTTTTTTTTTTTTTGAGGCAGTCTCACTCTGTCGCCCAGGCTGGAATGCAGTAGCATACTCACGGCCATTGCAGACTCAACCTGCTGGGCTCAGGTCATCCTTTCATCTCAGCCTTCCAAGTAGCTGAAAATACAGGTGCTCACCACCATGCTCAGCTAATTTTTTGATTTATTGTAGAGAAGAGGTCTCACCATGTTGCCCAGGTTCGTCTCGAACCCCCGTACTTGGGCAATTCTCTCACCTCCGCCTCCCAAAGTGCTGGGATTATAGGATTGAGCCACAGTGCCTGGCCTGAATTAGAAATTTTAAAAAACTTCCCACAAAGAAAAGTCAGGGTCTGGATTATTTCATCGCTAAATTATACCTAGAATTTAAAGAAAAATTAGTTCCAATTTTTTACCAACTCTTCCAAAAAATAGAAAGAAGAGAATAATTCCCAACTCTATGAGTCCCGTATTCTCCTAATGAAAGGACAGAGCCCAAAATGGAGTTATTCTGGTCTCCGACCTTGAGCAAAAGTTATTTACAAAAAAGGTAAAACAAGGCCGGGCATGGTGGCTCATGACTAGAATCCCAGCACTTTGAGAGGTTGAGGTTAGAGTAAGAGACCCAAGAGATTCAAAAAAACTATACTTGCTGTAAAAGAAGCGTTCATTGCATTTTATATATTCCTAACTCATGTTCACTATATTTTATAAATTCTTAGTATTTTAAATCCTACCTCAGACCCCATAGAACTAGGCACATGTCGGGTGTATAGTTATACAATATTTTAAGCAGTGTTTGTACTTAGAACTGTGTTAAGCTTTTGTGCTGCTAGCAGTGTGTGAATGTTAAGCAATAAGCCCCTCCCGGACATTCCTTTGCTTAGATTGCAGTAGACTCTGAGGCACTAGCCACTCTCTTGGTGGGCTCTATGTTGGTTCAAACCTCCGGCTCCCATGCCAAAGTTAATTTACACGCAGTGACTGTGTAAACCTAGCTTATCTGACATTCCACTCTGCCCGTTTAGCCGTTTCCCATCAATCACAGGCAACTAAGCTAGAGCCTGTGCAAACCAGAAAATAAACCTACCAATCCCAAGTGCCCCCGTACCCATTAGGAGAAATTACCCAATCATGTAAAAATAAGTTTAAAGTCCTTTCCCCTCCCTCTGTAACTGTGCATAAAAACTGCTTGCCATGCTGGATCGGGGCTCTCTCATCCCTGAAGCTGCTGCATCGGCTTCAAACGTAAGCCCAGACTCAAGCCCGAATAAAAGACCCTCATATGTTTGTATCGGAGCTGGCTCTTTGTGGTCTCTCGGATTTAAAATCTTGGGTTTAACAGGAGGACTGCCTGAGCCCGCAGGTTCAAGAACAGTCCAGGCAACTTGGCGAGACCTCATCTCTACAATAAATCAAAATATTAACTGGGCATCATGGCGCGTGCCTGTAGTTCCAGCTAATTGGAAGACTATAGTTCCCTGTAGTTCCAGCTAATTGGAAGACTGAGGCGGAAGGATGGCTTGAGCCCAGCAGGTTGAGGCTGCGGTGGCTGGGAGCGTGTCACTGCCCTCCAGCCTGGGTGAAAGAGTGAGACTCCAACTCAAAAAAAAAAAAAAAGGTAAAACAAAACTCCATGCCTTTTGGGCCTTATATCTAAAAATCTGGATCCTGAGCCTGCAGGTTAGAGACCTGCCTGGTAAACTTGGTGAGACCTCATCTCTACAATATACCAAAAAATTAGCCGGGCATGGTAGCGCACGCCTGTAATTCCAGCTACTTGGAAGGCTGAGGCGGAAGGATCGCCGGAGCCCCAGCAGGTTGAGGCTGCAGTGGCCAGGAGTGGCCACTGCACTCAGTCTAGGCAACAGAGTGAGATTCCAACATAAATAAATAAATAAATAAATAAATAAATAAATAAATAAAATCTGGATCCCAAGCTACAGCCTCATTGCTAAACCTCTCTATGAGGCTACTCAGGGACCAGAACATGAACCTCTTAATTGGCAATCTCCGATATATACTGCCTTTAATAATGTTGCAACAGCTCTTACCCATGCCCCAGCCCTGGCTCTTCCAAGCTACCAGAAGAATTTTCTTTTGGGCCAAACGCAGGGGCTCAAGCCTATAATACCAGCACTTTGGAAGGCTGAAGCGAGAGGATTGCCTGAGCCCATGGGTTTGAAGCCAGCCTGGGCAACTTGGTGAGACCTTGTCTCTACAATAAATCAAAAAATTAGCCGAGCATGATGGTAAGCACCTGTATTTCCAGCTACTTGGAAGGCTGAGATGAAAGGATGACCTGAGCCCAGCAGGTTGAGGCTGCAATGGCCGTGAGTGTGCTACTGCATTCCAGCCTGGGCGACAGAGTGACACTGCCTCAAAAAAAAAAAATTCTAATTCAGCCTCTTTGCTTGTTACAGGTCTATTCAAATTATCTATTCGTTCTTGAGTCAGAGTCGTTTATTCTTTTCATCTGTCTTCCAGCTACCGGCCCAGCCCTTCTTAGGTTATCACCTTTGTCCCAAAAATCTGTCTTCCAGCGACCAGCCCAGCCCTTCTTGTCTATGTGATGGACCACCCATTACTGGCCACCCCCACCTATCTGATTGTCAGAGATACGAGAAACAGACCCCATTGCCATGACTCAGGCTCTTGCGAATGCTTACCTGCCCCTTTAAAGGAAAGCTTTATAAGCCTCCAGCCCTGAGTTCAGGGCCAACGTTTCTTAAGCATCTAGACTCTCCTCCAGTCCTGGAGAAGTGAATCCACCCTCTCTCTGATCTGCTATCTGAATTGTCCACCTTCTGTGTAATTCTTTGCATACCCACGGCACAAACTCAGCTCACTGACCTAACACCTAATACCAAAACCAGACAAAAATATCATAAGAAAACTACAGACCAACATATTTTATGAATATGGACATAAAACCCCAACAAGATACTAGCAAACTGAAATCAGCAATCTTAAATATATATATATATATATACCATGAGCAAACAGGATTTATTCTAGAAAGATAAATGTTGATTTAACCTCTGAAAGTCAATTCTTGTAAAACTTCACATAAACAGAATAAAAATCAAAAGTCACATCATCATCCCAATAGGTACAAAAAAGTCAAGGACAAAATTCAACACCCTTTCCTGATACATGTGCTCCACAAACTAGGAGTAAAAGTAAACTTTCTCCTGGATAAATGGTGTCTACAAAAAACTCCCAGCCAGCATCTTACTTCACGGTGAAGAATGGATGCTGTCGCCCCAAGGTCAGGAGTCTGCACTCACCAATTCTAGTCAATGTTGTACAAGGGTCTAGCTAGAGCGATTTATTTTCATTTGCCTCCTCAACGGACCAACTGGCAGTATGAAGGACGAATGTTTCAATAGTTTCATTTGTATTCCTCCTGATTAAAAAGTCTTCATACAAAAGTTTTACGTTGTTTCCCAATTCCTGAAAATATTTCCACAATGTTCCAATGTCAAGTAATGCAAAAAGCTGTAGGGTGCAGAAATTAAAAACTGCACCTAAAAAATGATTTGCATGATAAACTTTAAAAGTCACTCAAGTCCAAAGGGCTGTATATCATCAGCACGCAGAAGTTTCAGAATCACAAACTGAGGAAGCTGGAGCTCTTTAGCAACATGCATGAATTGATATTTGTTACAAGGTTCTAGAAATTTTCAATTTTCTGCTCAACCCCTTTACTAAATAAAAGGAGGAAAAATTTAGGAAAATTATGATAAAAATGCATGATGTGAAGGATTAACAGATATAATTCAATAATGACAAGGCTCTTCTAGATACCTAAATATTTTTTTAAAAACCATTTTGTACATATGAATAAGAATATTTGCTATTTAATTCGTGTCACGTTAGTTGGGCGTGGTGGCTTATGCCTGTACTTTGGTAGACAGAGGAGAAAGGATTGCCCAAATCCATAGGTTTGAGACCAGCCTGGGCAACATGGCGAGACCTCGTCTCTACAATAAATTTAAAAAATTAGCTGGGCATGGTGATGTGAGCCTGCAGTTCCAACTAATTGGAAGGCCAAAGTGGAAGGATCGCCTGAGCCCAGCAGGTCAAGGCTGTGGTGACTATGAGTGTGCTACTGCACTTCAGCCTAGGTAACAGAGTGAGACTCCAATTCAAAAAAAAAAAAGTGTCACCCTGAAAGTACTTAAGGACAGGAATAAATATTAGCTGGACGTGATGGTGTGTGTGTCCTAGCTTCTTGGGAGGCTGAGGGGGAGGGATTGGGTGAGCCCAGGAGGTCGAGGCTGCGGTAAGCTATGATCGTGCTATTAAAACCTCTTCCTCTATACTGTATTTTAATAATTACAAAAATTAAATCATTTAAAAATAAGACAAGCCAGGCACAGTGGTTCAAGGCTATAATCCCAGCAATTTAGGAGGCTGAGACGAGAGGATTGTTGGAGTGCAGGGGTTCGAGACCAGCTTGAGCAACTTGGTGAGATCTTGTCTCTACAATAAATAAATAAAAATTAGCCGGGTGTGATGGCACACACCTGTAGTTCCAGCTACCACAAGGCTGAGGTGGAAGGATCGCCTGAACCCAGCAGGTCAAGGCTGCGGTAGCCGTGAGCATGTCACTGCACTCTAGCCTGGGCAACAGAGTGAGACTCCAACTCAAAAAAAAAATTTTTTTAATTAAAAAAAAAAACAATTTAACAACACATGTACCGGAAGGTATGGCTGCAAAGTAGCAGTAAGGTGGGTTTTTGGGGTGATGGAAGTGTTTTGCATCCTGATTGTGGGAATAGTTTTAGACTCCGTGTGTATTAAAATGATACGCAAAAACAAAGTCAATTTAACTGTATGTTAATTTTTAAAACAAAATTGGAAAAAAGCACACATGCAATAGAATTAAATATAAAGTGCATTCTTTCAAAACATCATATGTAACAAATGCCATACATTTGATAAAAAACAAGGCAAACACAGGCCTCACGGCCTGCCTTTCTGGTATATTCCCAGCCTAAAAAAGATTTTCGTCTGTGACTCACGCCTATAATCCAGCACTTTGGGAGGCTGTGGTGAGAGGAGTGCCTGAGTTCATGGGTTCGAGACCAGCCTGAGCAACTTGGCGAGACCTCATCTCTACCATAAATCAAAAAATTAGCCAGGCATGGTGGCGTGTGCCGGTAGTTCCAACTACTTAGAATGCGGAGGTGAAAGGATTGCCTGAGCTCAGCAGGTCAAGGCTTTGGTGGCCATGAACGTGCCACTGCACTCTAGCCTGGGCAACAGAGTGAGACTCCAACTAAAAAAAAAAAAAGATTTTCATTTATCTTTGCTTTAGTGGTTTGTATTATAAAAACAACAGGCATCCCAATGCACTTTGTCAAACCACATATGCCCAGCAGAAAATCTGAATGCCATTCCTAATACATAGACACAGACTGACTTGTCCAAGTCTCACACATTGTGGCTACCCCCCAGGTATCCTGATAACTTGTTATGACTAAATTACAGGGGTTGGAAATAGATCAGATATGTAAGTGAAAAACCACAGGGAGCTTTGTGTGTGTTAGGTAGAAGTTCAGCTTCTTATCTTTCAGGGCTTCCTGTTCTGCTGTCACAATACAGTACAATATTTACTATAATGAAATTTATAACTTACAAAATTACATATAACAGAATGAAAGGCAAATATGGGTAAAATACAGAAGCAAAACCAGGAATACCCCCCAGTCAACCTCGTGTATCGTGTTGTAAGACACGACCCCCTCTGCACACCTTCAGCCACCTCTGGCCTTGCTTACCTTCTGACTTGTACTCGCCAGCTTTCTGTCTCAAGTCCTCTATCACCAGGTGGACGTCCCTGTCCCGGGCCCTGTTGCGCTCTGAAAGATGATGTAAAAGCTCTGTGGTCCGTTGGTTCACCTCATACTGTGGAATGGGATGATTTCCAAATATCTTTTTTAACCACGCAGCGACCTAACCATTAAAAGAAACACAGATGTCATGCACCTTGCTTGCTGCAACAGCCTGATGAGATGACAGAGGAGTGATCTGAAGCCACCTAGAGGCTTTTTCTATGGCAACTGCCTCACATTCTCCACTTGAGGAGACACCAGATGCCAGGAAACAAAAGGTGAGTGGCACAATGGACAGGGTAAGAGTCAAAACTGGCAGGGTGCGTGGCTCACCCTGGAATCCTAGCATTTGGGAGGGCGAGGCAGGAGGATCACTTGAGCCCAGGAGTTTGAGACCAACCATTGGAGACTCACCTCTTAAAAAAAAATAAGTCAGGCACAGAGGCTCCAGTCTGTAATCCCAGCATGTTGGGAGGCTGAGGCAAGAGAACTGCCTGAGCTGAGGAGTTTAAGACCAGCCTGGGTAACTTGGTGAGACCCTGTCTCTACAATCAAAAAAATAAGCTGGGTGTGGTAGCACAGTGCCTGTAGTTCCTGCTACTTGGAAGGCTGAGGCGGAAGGATCACCTGAGCTCAGCAGGTGGAGGCTGCGGTGGCCATGAGCGTGCCACTGCCCTCCAGTCTGGGTGACAGAGATTCCAACTGAGAAAAAAAAAAAAAAACCCAGGAGCAGTGAAGCTGGCTGTCTCAGTTACTCGGGAGGCTCAAGCGAGAGGAATGCTTGAGTCCATAAATTCAAGGCTGTGGTGAGCTATGACCACACCGCTGCACTCCAACCGGAGACAGCGTGGCCCTGTCTCTTTAAAAACAACTACTTGAGGGGAGCTGTGGCTCAAGCCTGTAATCCCAGCACTTTGAAGAGGACTGCCTGAGACCAGGGGTTCGAGACAAGCATGGCCAATTTGGCAAGACCTCGTCCCTACAATAAATCAAAAAATTAGCCAGGTGTGGTGGCTCGTGCCTGTAGTTTCAGGTACTTGGAAGGCTGAGAAGGATCACCTGAGCCCAGCACTGCACTTCAGCCTGGGTGACAGAGTGAGACTCCAACTCAATAAATAAACAAACAAACACAACTTCACACCTTGATGAAGTATGAATATTAAAAATTTTAATCCCAGCACTTTGGGGATTGGCTGAGCGCAGAAGTTCCAGAACAGCCTGGACAGTACAGCGAGACCTCTTCTCTAACAAAAAAAAAAAAGATAAAAGCGTCAAAGCTTCCAGAGAACACCCCAGACTTTCCCAAAGCTACAAAGGCGGCACAGACTCTCCGGAAAAACCCCACCAGCGATGGTCCGAGTGGTCCCCGGCACACGGGAGGCGCGAGACGGGGCGAAGGCGGTGAGCGGCGGCGGGAGGGCCGCGGTGCCGGAAGGTGCGCCGGCCGTCGATGCCCCCGTGGGCTCGGTCTGCCGGTCGCGGGGGAAGGGACACCCCTCCCGGAGGGCCTAGGGAGAGGTGCCGGAAGGTGGCCCGCGAGATGGACGTGCGGAACAGGGGAGAGGACGAAGAGGCGCGATGCGCGCACGAGACCTGCGGGATTGTCAGAAACGCGGTTTCCCGGAGGGCACCGTCCGCCCCTCCCCTCACCTGCGCTTCTTTCTCTAGTGGCGGCTCCATAGCGGTTGCTCCCGCCACAGCTCGCAACGCCTCGCGGGAGAAACGCCCGCAGGCTGTCAGCCCCCGCCCCGCGCGCCGCTGGCCCCGCCCCGCGCGCCGCTGGCCCCGCCCCGCGCGCCGCTGGCCCCGCCCCGCGCGCCGCTGGCCCCGCCCCGCGCGCCGCTAGCTCTTCAGGCCCCGCCCCGCGCGCCGCTAGCTCTTCAGGCCCTGCCCACAGGCCGCTGGTCCCACCCTCACGCCGGCTCCCTCAGGCCCAGCCCACTCGCCGCTGGGCCCACCTACATGCCGCTGGACTCACCCACACGCCGCTGGCTGCGCCCCATTGTCCCGCCCACGCGCCGCAGGTCCCTCAAGCCCGCCCACTCACTTCTGGGCCCGCCGCACACGTCTCGGTTACTAAGGCCCTACCCACACCAGGCTGGCTTATGCCCACACAACGTGGCTCCGCAGGGAGCTCCCGCGCTGAGAGTCTCATGATTGTCTTCCCTGGCTCCCTGGTCTGTATTCGCCAGGGAAGCAGTGTCGGCTGGACCCAGGCTATATTTTCTTTCTTCATTTTTTTCTTTTTTTTGACAACTTAAAAATATTTTTTTATTTTCCTAACTCTCAGAAGCTGTGAATAATAATTTTAAAATATTTTTGTAAGAATAAGATGGGGCGGGAGGTCTCACTATGTTGCCGGCGCTGGTCTCAAACTTCTGGCCTCAATCCAGACTCCTGCCTTGGTCTCCAAAAGTGCTGGGAATACAAGTGTGAGCCACTGCACCTGGTCTCTTTCATATGTGTATATATATTTTGCGACATGGTCTCCCTCTGTTACCCAGGCTGGAGTACAGTGGTGAGACACAGTTCACTGCAGCCTGGAACTCCAAGGCTCAAGCGATCCTCTCCCACCTGAGCCTCACCAGTAGCTGGAACTATAGGCGCACGTGACCGCGTCCAACCAATTTTTTTATTTTATTGTAGGGACGAGATCTTGTTATGGTGCCTAGGCTGGTCTCAAACACCTAGGCTCAAGCAATCCTCTGGCCTCAGTCTCCCAAAGCCCTGGGATTACGCACCCTGCCCACTTTTTGATATTTTTGTTTCTCGCTTGATTCATTGTCTTAAAAAAGTACCTGAAAAGTTTGGTCCTCACTTAGCAAGATGTTTGTTTCTTTCTCAGTGGTGGCATAAACTAGGATTTGTGTTCGACCCTGACTATAGGAGCTGCGGCAGTCTTAACCTTGGCAGTTCCCACTCCCGAGGAGCTGTGTTAGAAAACGTCTGACAGCATTGCCCTACTGGGAATGTCGCCTTCTCAGCCATTCTTCCAACACTTCTTGTCATTCCCGAAGCTCTCTCCTCTCTCTGTCACTGTATTTAACACTAGGGGAGGTTCTTTGTATTCATGCAGCAATGTAAAGTCTTCTATATTTTTATATTTATTTCATTCTTACAGAAATACTATAAAATAGGTGGGCATGCATTATTTTACCCATTTTCACATTAAAACACACACAGATGGGCATGGTGGCTCATGTTTGTAATCCCAGCACTTTGGGAGGCAAAAGGATTGCATGAGCCCAGGGTTTGAGACTAGCCTGGCCAACTTGGTGAAACCTCATCTTTACAATAAAAAAAAAAGTTAGCTGGGTGTGGTGGCACTTGTGGTTCCAGCTACTTGGAAGTCTGAGGAGGAGCAGGTGGAGGATACAGTGGCTGTGATCGTGCCTGGGCCAGAGTGAGACTCCGACTCAAAAACAACAATAACAACACACAGATTGAATGACTTGACAAGATTCATCAGTGGAGATTCAATTGTGTTCTGGCTCCAGTGGGGTTTTTGAGTCTCCACATTTCCACCAGCATCCTCCTTGGTGCGCAGTGTTACTAAGAGGAGTCCATGGCTCAAAGGGCCATGCACTCAACTTCATGTGATGTGTGGTTTGATGTCAATTACGGATCTGGCTTGGTACCAAAAGCTTTCTCCTAAGTCACTGGTGTGTCTAAGATGATTTTCTGTATACAATTTCTTATCAACTTGGGTGGTGAGTTGGGCGTTGCAGTTCCCAGAGCTGTACTGTCAGGCCGGATCCACCACTGGCTGGAAAGGGGGGGGGTGTTGCAGCTCCCTGGGTTCCATAGGCCGGCAAGCCAGGCCCCAAGAAGTGTCATATGAATGGCAAGCCAGGCCCCAGAAAGTGTTGGCTGGGTGGGCAAGTCAGGCCTGCTAAGTGTCGCAGCTCTGTTGTGGCAAGATTTTACAGAGAGAGACAAGACACTGAGGCTACATTGCCAGGAAGCAGTGTTTATTCATACCGACACTGGCTCAGTAGATTCACATCCAAAGGCTGAGCCCTGAACATGGGGGGGCATTGCCTTTTGTACATCTTTAGCTTCTTTGTTCCTCCGATAAGGCTTACATATTAGTAACATATAGGCTAATTGGGTATTTCACAGCTCAAGGGTTACACATGCACACTACGGATTGGGTGCTACCTTCCTTTCTAACATAAATCTTCCAAGAAAGCTCTCATCTTAGGTGCTAGAAGGACCATATTCTGGGAAGGCTTTTATCATACTGTACTAAGAGGGCCCTTTCTCTATCCTGGGAAGGCCTTTATTTTATTAGGCTGGGGGAACTCCCTGCCTCATTCCCCCCTTTGATGCTCAAATCCCTTTTTAGGTTTATAGAGTATCACTTTGGTTTAAGGGTTTGTATTTCCATAACAGCGTTACAGGCACTGCTGTTTTGTTTTGTTTTTTTTCCAACTATGGCCTTGATGAGGTTGGAGGTAGACCTTATAACCAAGGGAGCTAGACAGGGCAGGATTAGACAAATTACCAACATCATGAGTATAATGCCTATGAGAGTTTTAAATCTTTCAAAAGTTGAGAACCAACCTCCAAACAGTTTTCCAGGGTCCCAGCCCTTCTAGGTCTGGACTGGGACATGAGCAATCTTCCTTATCAGGTCAGTGATTTTTTTATGACCTTTCCCTCATCTATTTGCAAGCAGCAGTTGCTTAAGTCAACCTTTTCACAAACCCCTTCTTCAGAAGCAAGCAAGTTTAGAATAAGTGGTTTTGATAAGCGGCATTGCACATTTTAATCTGCTGTTTGGCTAATATGTTAAAGGCCTTTGCAGTTTTATTAGTTATAATTTTAACAACCACCTGTAATTGAATTATGTGGTTTAGCATGTAAATGGAGGTTCCATAGTCCTAAGATCCATCCTGTGTTCAGATAGCTGGGCCATAGTTTTTAATATTACACTCAAGGGGCTATTCATCATCTTTCCAGTCCCCAATTTGTAGTGCACGCTGCTTTCTTTGGAAGTTCCAGGTTTTATATATTTGGACCCCCAACTGTTCTCCCTGCGAGAGTGGGAGTAGTGAGAGTAGGAAAAAGGAAGGCCAAATAGAAAAAAGCTCCTGACCAGTCTGAAGGAAGTACAATGTAGGCTACTTTCTCATATATCCAATAATAGTCCTTAGGGGCCAACCAGTTGATGTTTGCATCAACAGCATTCCATGCCTGTTGGAGGTGGGGGAAGTTAAACAAAGGGTGAGGGTTTGGTTCAGGGTGGTCTGGGGACTCCCACCATTGAGTTTTGTTAGTCATGACGTTATAATACCTTTGGCCTGAGCATGTCAGACTTTCCACAGGAGTGTTGAACTTTATTCCTCATTGGGCAAGTCAGGTCTTTTCTATAACTGAGGTTTTAAGTAGCCAAATTCCACTGGCAGGGCTAGGATACCGTTTCATTGTGGGGCTCGTGGGGTTCCAACTCTCTAGCTTCCCATGGCCACTGATGTTCCATATTAGTTCCCCCACATACATAGCAAGAGGAGCCTTTTAGAGACTGGGTGATAGTTTCTGTCACAGCTAGCAACAGATTTCTAGTCATGACAGAGAGAGGAGGGGGACTACTTTCTATTTCTACATAAAAAGTAGACGACTGTGCTCACTTCAGCAGCACATATACTAAAACTGGAACGATACAGAGAAGATTAGCATGGCCCCTGTGCAAGGATGACATGCAAATTCGTGAAGCGTTCCATATTTTTTTTTTTTTGAGTTGGAGTCTCACTCTGTCGCCCAGACTGGAGTGCAGTGGCCGCTCCCAGCCACCGCAGCCTCACCTGCTGGGCTCTGGCGATCCTTCCGCCTCAGTCTTCCGAATAGCCGAAATTACAGGCATGCGCTACCACGCCCGGCTGATTCTTTTATTTATTGTAGAGATGAGGTCTTGCTGCCCAGGCGGGTCTCGAACCCGCAGACTCAGGCAATCCACTCACCTCAGCCTCCCAAAGGCGTGGGATTACAGGCTGAGCCACCGAGCCCGGCTGCGTTCCATATTTAAAAAAAAAAAAGTAGACGACCTCATGGGAGGAGGCTTTGAGTGGGATTGTGACCCTTTTGACGTATAGTAAGGTTCTAGGGTCAAAACCTTGCCCATGGGTACGCATGCCAAACCGTCAGCCTGTTTTCCATCCTGGATTTTCTAAGTTAAAGATGGTAAAATTAAAGGGGTTACAGGCTCCTGATTTACAATTAGAGGTGGCAACCCTTTTGAAGGAAAGCAACTTTAGCTTGGCCTCTCCAAGTGGCCCATGATATATAACCTCAATAAGGACAAAAGAATTAAGCTACAGCATGAGGACCACATTCCATTTGCAGGCTGTTCACATATATACTTATCATTGAGCCTATACTTTCCCAGGCTAGGCTCTCACATGACTTAGTACCATTACTGTGGGTATAGCATACCACCAGGTTTCATTCATGACTGAGCAGGTAATAAGTATAGACACTGGTTGGTGGGAATTGGTGATCAGGGTTCGGTTAATTAAATGCTCTCCTTCTTTGGTACAATGGACCTCTAACCATTCCTCACTTGGGGGGTATTATGGATTGAAACAGGTATATAGACTTCCCTGTTGGCAAATAGAATAGACGGTTTTGCTATGTCTGCAAGTCCCTGAAATTGTTCCCTGACAAGAGAAATGGGTCTGGTAAAGGAGGATCCAGGTAACTCCTTGACCTGACCTGGTTGT